GAACGGAAGAACAAATTGAAGTCTCAAGTAGTAATACTTAAAGATGCTGTGAGCAGAATGTTTAATGACCCAGGAAGCACCAAAAGAAGATGGAAGACAACTGCCTGACTAAATGACTGGAAGAGATTCATACTTATTCCCATTGTGAATAAAGTTGATATAACAGAATGTGGAAATGATCAAATAATATTGTTAATATCATGTGCAAGCATGATCTTACTGAAGATAGTCCTGAAAATGAAACAGCACATCAGCAAAGAACTGCCAGATGTGTAAGCTGGATTTAGAAGAGGCTGTGGGCACTAAGGACATTACAGCCAATGTTAGATGTATCTTAGCTGAAAACAGAGAGTATCAGAGGATTGTCTATCTGTGTTTCATTGATTATGCAAAGACATTTGATTGTATGGATTAATCACAACAAATTGTGGCTAACTTTGAGAGAAATGAGAATCCTAGAACACTTCGTTTTGTTCACACCAAGCTTATACTTGGACCAGGAGGCAGTCATCAGAAAAGAGCAGGGAAATAATTCATGGTTCAAAATCAGGAAACATGTATATCAGGGATGCATCCTGTCTCCATGCCTTTTCAATCTATATGCGGAACAGATCTTTTGGGAGGCTGGACTCTATGAGGAGGAGTGTGGCATCAGAATTGGAGAAAGACTCATCTTCAGCCTGCATTATGCTGATGACACAACCCTGTTTACTGAAACTGAGAAGGACCTGGGACATTTGCTGCAGAAGGTCAAGGATTACAGCCTTCAGGGTGGATTGAAGGTCAACATCAAGAAAAGAAACATTCTCATCACTGTGCCCATTGGCAGCATCATGATAGATGGAGGAGAGATTGAGATTGTTAAAAGATTTGGCCTGCTTGATTACATGATCAACACTCTTGGCACCAGCAATCAGGAAACCAGAAGATGAATTGCAATATATACTGGACTTGGTCTAAATCAATTTATAAATGTATCATTTATAACAAATGTGTATCTTTAGCAAATATCCCCTTAGAATTTTAGCTGTGTAATGACAGTTGTTGTTGTCGTTGTTATGTGCAGTCGAGTCACTTGTGACTCATAGTGACCCTATGTACAACAGCCCTAAACTCTGCTCTGTCCTGTGCCACTCGCACTGCCTCTGACACTCCCATCCCAATTATCACAGTCACTGAATCAATCCACCTCATAGAGGGCCTTCCTCTCCTGCGCCGTCCCTCCACCCTCCCAAGCATGATGTCCCTCTCTAAGGACCAGTCTCTCCTCACAACATGTCCAAAGTATGTTAGACGGAGCCTCAGAATCCTTGCCTCCAAGGAGCAGCCCGATTTGACCCTTTCCAGGATGAATCTGTTTGTTTTCCTAGCAGTCCATGATACCCTCAATACTCTTCTCCAGCACCACAGCTCAAAGGCATCAATTCTCCTTCTATCCTCCCTAGTCATTGTCCAACTCTCTGATGCATAACAAGTGATAGCAAAGACCATGGCCTGTATCAGATGCACCTTAGTCTCCAGAGAGACACCATTTTCTTCAGTACTTTGGAGAGGTCCCTAACAGCAGACTTTTCCATGGTAATACGCCTATTAATTTCCTGGCTACTGGTGCCAAGAGTGTTGACTGTGGAGCCAAGCAAACTAAAGCTGTGAACAATCTCAATCTCTTCACCATCCATCCTGATGCTGCCAATTGGCCCGGTGGTGAGAATCTTTGTCTTCTTGACATTGAGCCTGAATCCATATTGTAGGACTTCTAATTAAGTCTTTTTTGCTTTTTTTTTATATATACCCCTATTGAGAATTTGCTTTTCCACCCTACATGTACTGAATCAGAATCTACATTTTAACAGGATTCAATTATAGATTCTGATTTTGTATCTCTGGGTAGGAATGAAAATTTTTGGCAGGTGGTCTTAATAGAATTAATTAATTCAAAGCCCTGAATAAAATATGTAATGAAATAATTTTATTTGTAGCATTATCTTATAGATTAAAACTTCTATGTATTCACTTGGTAGTTTGGGTGATATATGTTGGCCTGCTAACTGACAGGCCAGTAGTTAAAATCCACTAGACACTCTGCAGGTGAAAGATGAGAAAATCTGTTCCCTTTGAGATTTACAGCCTCAGAAACCTGATGACAGGACTCTATGAGTCAGAATGGACTTGACAGTAGTGGGGGGCGGGGGGGAGTGTGATATGTACATATCTATAAGCCACATAAATAATGTCTAAAAAGTAATAAGAACTATCTATCCAATAAAATGGTAAACTAGTGAGCTCTGATAAACTGATAAAAATGGAACAAAATCAGGGAAATAGATATACATTTTCATTTATTGTATCTGTAAAGGCAAATTATATGCAAACCATTATAAAAGTTTTAAAGAAGGCTAATTAGAGGACTGATCCTCCAAATCGCCTCTGTCAACTCAGTCCTTTATTTTAACAACTAGAAATATTATCAAATAATGGCATTACTAATTGAAGTATCAGTTTTGACAAGCCCTTACTTACTTCTTTATTAAAGCAACTTCCTGGAAATATCACAAGAAGTTAATGACTCATTTGCTGATTAAATTTGAACTTTTCTCCTCTAATATTTGAATGGGAAAAACAGAAATACAATTGATTCAAGTTCTTTTACTAGATTGAATAGGGATATACATAGTACTGATGCACATAAATGTGATAACAGTCGTTAGCATTCATAATGGAATTTACTAATTGGTTTATCTTTGGAGTTCATTTTGTCTCTGAAAATTCACATGCTGAAATAATGTTTTTCCTAAACTAGCCAAGTGAAATTTTTCATAAAAAACTTAAAATGTTCTTATCTAACTAACAAATCAATCTCTTTTCTTTTGTTTTGTTAGCCACTCAGCAAATACCCTGCTCTGATAAACGACATTTCATTCTGGTTACCACCTGAGAATTATGCAGAAAATGATTTCTATGACTTGGTCCGGTCAATTGGAGGAGACCTTGTGGAAAAAGTTGAGCTTATAGACAAGTTTGAACATCCAAAGTAAGTAAAAAAGCTTTCTGATTTTTGTCTTTCCTGTTTCTACATGACAAATGGCATATGGAAATGTGGTAAAATTCTGCTTAAACGAACTGCTTTGTGAGGCTAATGTCTTAAGAATTTTGCAGTAAACAAACAGCTTACTGGAAAATTGGAGGATTTTCACCAGTCCTTTCTGAAAATCTTTCCAAAGAGCGTTTTCAGGCTTTCCTCCCTCAGTAAAGGACGCATATGTTTTAAAGATCTCCAGTATTATCTGTGGAAATAGTTTCTTGCGATATCACTTTTCAGATACTGGTGAGATGTGTGGAAAAACTGATTAGTTTCTCAGTAAAGTGTTTATTAAACCCTTAGCACTCACCAACTTCCATCCTGGGTTCTAGGAATTAAATGCATCCAAAACAGTCTCTTTCCATAGTGAAGAGACCTGTGGAAATGGTAAATACTAAGTAAATTCTTGTCCAAAGTTGAATTATGTATTATGGAAGAAAAATGCTTGAGTCATAATTAAAGAATTAACTGACGTGGGACGTCTACTTGGGTTTCTTGGAAGAGCTAGCATTCCAGCTGAAATTAGAGGGTTGAAGGAGAGTGAATAAAGAGGGAAGAACATTCCAGATGATGCCTATGAACCCCTTGGGGAAGAACGTGGCTTATGTGAAATGCAGGAAGCCTCAGAGAACATAGTGACTCCAGACACTGAATGGGGCAGTGGGTGGAGAGAAATGACTGAGGGTCAAGATGTGGATACATGGCCCATCCAGGGGCAAGAAAGTTTAAGGCCTGAGTTATGGAAGTTTATGCTAAATGTAATTGGAAGACATGGAAGGACAGGAGCAAAGATAAATGATGTGACCTAGTTTATGTTCTTTGCTCATTCTAAATGGTTTCCTTTGGCCCTCAGCTGTTTAAGTCAATAGGTAAAGACCTTCTCATCTTCATCTCTCCTCTCTTATAAATACTCATATCACAGCTACATTATGATGTTGTTAAGCGTCATCCAGTCACTTGCAACTCACAGCAACCCTGTATAAAACAGCTCTGAACCCTGCTATTTGCCAAGCTTATTGTCTCTGACACACCTACCTTCATTATCCCAGTCACTGAATCAATCCATCTTATCAAGGGTCTTCCTCTCTTGCTCTGTCCCTCCACCCTCCCAAGCATGATGTCCTTCTCTAATGACTGGTCCCACATTGCAACATGTCCAAAGTATGTCAAAGCTTCAGAATCCTTGTCTCCAAGGAGCAGCTTGGTTTCACCCTCTCTAAGATGAACCTATTTGTTCTCTTAGCAGAACTCTTCTCCAACACCACAACTCAAAGATAACAAATATCCTGCTGTCATCCCTAGTCATTGTCCAGCTCTCTGGTTCATAGTAAGTGACTTCAAAGACCATGGCCTGTATCAAGCACACCTTAGTCTCCAGACTGATATCATTGCCCTCCTGTACTCTAGAGACGTCCCTGACAGCAGATTTTTCCAATGCAATTTGTCTTTTGATTCATTCATATAAAGCTATTTAATACTGTGAACACAGCAAAAAGAGGAAGACCCTGAACAGAAATGGACTAACAGAATGGTTTCAACACTGAGCTCAAACACAGCAATGGTTGTGATCTTGATGCAGGACAAGGCTGTGTTTTGCTTTGTTCTATTGCACTCAGGGTCACTATGAGTGGGAAGTGACTCTATGGTACTTAAAACTGCAACGATGCACACAATCCCATGCTATTCACTTCCTTCTGAAGGAAATACTACTTTTCACTTGGAACTTAAAAACAACCAATCAATTAAAACAATTTGTTATTGGTACTGGTGAGAATATCTTAAATAAATGTACAAATATTTAAAGACTATAATTTTGGGCAATGGAGTAAGTGTGTCGGAATCAGTGAAACTGGCTCAGGACAGGGCAGGCTTCAGAGCTGTTGTACATAGGGTTGCTATGAGTTGCAGGCAACTCGAGGGCACATACAACAACAGCATCATTTTGGAGCTATGCCAAATTATAAACCTGCCCAGGACACATCCTCTTTATTAAAGGACTTCATATTCAAAGTAGGGTTCCTGTGGCAGAGATTGTTAATTATTTCTCAATATCCAATTTCCTTCCTCACACCTCCTTAAATAACATAATCCTGGTTTGTTTGGGGTTTTTTTCGGTAAGTAAATTTCCACTCGACTAGAAGTCTATGATTCCAGCCTCAATTACAGCAAAATGTATATATATGATGAAGTTCATCTAAGGATTTATAACTGGAAGTATTTAAGAATACTTTCAGGAAGTTTCTGTATTCTGTGGGTTGAAATAGCCCTTTCTTCTCTCTGCTCGCTGCATATAAGTGTTACTGCTGGTCCTTCAGCAGGCATTTTGGACCATGAGTTACCATGCCAGAAAATAGAGCAAAAACTGGGTTTTTCTCTCATATGAGCGAGAAATATCTTACTTAAACCTCAATTCTTCAGATCTTTGTAAGTGGCAGTCAAAACTAAACCTATCTGAGGAATATCCACAAAGAAAAGAACCTATCTCGTAATGGTGCAGAAACAGTGCAGGCAGAGTGCACCTTGGAGACAGAGATAGCAAAGCTTCATCTCTCATAGTTTGGGCATGCTTCTAGGAAAAGCTGTTTCTCACAAAGGGACATCATGTTTGGAAGGATGGAGGGTCAGTGAAAGATGTAGAGACCCCAATGAGATGGATTGATGCAGTGACTGCAGCAGCTGCTTGAGGGTGTCAGGGATGATGAAGGTGGCACAGGATAGGTCAGAGTTCAGGTCTGTTGTTAATAGGGTGGCTATGAGTCATACTGGACTGACTCCACAGCAACTAACAACAACAGTTATGGTGGCTCATGTGTAATGATTGTCAGGAAATATCTATGGCAGAAGTTGGTTCACTTTTTCAGCTAAGAATTAGAAAGTAAATATTGTTTACTTTGTCAGCTTTGTCGTCTTTATTGCACTACTGAACTCTGTCCTAGGAATCATGCAGATAGATGTATGTGTCCTCAGCAAAGCATTAATTACAAAAGGAGGCGATTGAATTTGACCCAGGGTTTTCCGTCCCTGTGTAGAATCGGGAGGTGTGTAAACTGACTTGAGGGCAGTGTTTTGTTTGTTATTTTGTGCATAGACTCAACCTCTCTCTTGTAGGAAGCCATCTTTCCTTGAGTACACTGTGCCTTTACCTGGTCTGCATTCCGAAGCCCTACTTGGGGCCTAGCAGGTGAAGGGTTGGCTGCCTTTGCACTCATCAACTCATACCTCAGTCCCATGATTTGTTACTGTTTTTAAGTATATAAATAAAATAACACCAGGTAGCCCACAAGAGCTCAGACCCTTTCCCTGCCAGGCATCAAAGCTGAGAGACTCTATGACTGAACAAAGGGTACTATGAGAAAGAATCACGTAGTGGAAAAACTTAGTGTTACTTTTTGACCAAGGACAGATCCCAAGCTGTTTTAAGGAGGCATAAACTGCTGGATAGGAACCTGATTTCATAATGTTAGACAAATGGAGAAATTTTTTTCCTGATTACAAATAACAGTTTGTGCCCTGAAGGAAGATAGACGTTCAGCCTAGGAAATGATGTTTTGTTCCAGTTAGTTGTTCAGAACCTTCTCTCAGAGGATCCTTGTCACTTAATCTATGGGCCACTTGATGTGCAAAAGAGTCTTTGTAGTTCAAAAATTTAATGTAGAAAAAAAAATGTAACCGTGGTTGCCCCTAGGGAGGAGAGCGGGAGTGGTTCAGTGGTGAGTGAGAGATGTACTTGTCCCCATGTGTCCTTTGGCATCGTTAAACTATTGTGTTATGCACATAACTGACTAATGAGAAAATTTAAGAAAGTAAATTGTGTGCTTCAGCATATGAACTGGCTGTTCCTCACACATTCAGTGTATGGTGTTTATTTTCTTCTGGAACAAAATTACTCAAAAGATTTCTTATAAATGTCTTAATAATGTATTAATTGTTATCTTCCATGTTAGTAAGCTTGGACAATTTTAGTTGAGTTTTTTTTAAATCTGCCTTATTCCACACAGCATCATTTTCTTAAGGTTTCTGTTAAGTACAACATATATCAGAACATTATTTCTCTTAGTGGCTGAATAATACTCCATTGTATTTTTTTGTTGTTTTATCTGTTTTTGTTTGCCCATTTATCTGTTGATGAGTGCTTGAGTTTTCATCTACTTTTTCACCAAAATAGCTAAGTTCCAAAGGTCAGGTCCTTATTTGAAAATCAGCATTATACAAATATGGAGGATGGATATAACTGCCAAATTACATCATGACATAACTACTATACCTATGCATGTAAGGAAACTCTGTTAGCACTGTTATTTGAACACCAACCACAAAAGCCAAAAATTTTAAAAATTGATGATTTCTATCAGTTTCTGCAATCCGAAATTGATCAAACCTAGAATCAAAATGCATTCATAATAATTGATAACTTGAATGCAAAAGTTGGAAACAAAGAAAGACTGTTGTTGTTGTTGTTGTGTACCGCAGAGTCAGAACCAACCCATAGCTGACCCTCTAATGGGTTTAGCTGACACTAATGGGTTTTCAGAGAAGGTTAATCACATGGGAGGAGATTGCCCATCCTGAAGGACTAGTAGTTGGAAAATATGGCTTGATGACAGACATGAAACTGATGATGGAACAAGACAATTTTTTATTAATTATCAGATGAGTCTGAACATCTGTACATAGACCAAGGAATAGTTGTGGAAAGGTGTGTGTCAGCATTGTATCTTTTCTCCATGCCTATTCATTTGGCATGCTGAGCAAATTGTTCAAGAAGTTGAACTATATAATGAAGAATATGGCATCAGAATTAGAGGAAGGCTCATCAAGAACCTGTATAATCCTGATGATACAACCTTGCTTTCATAAAGTGAAGAAGATTTAAAGCACTTAGCAAAGGAGATCAAAGACTACAGCTTTCAGTGTGGATTGTATCTTAAGATTAAGGAAACAGAAATCCTCAC